CTTCACTTTGCTTCAGGAGAAGGGAGCTCCTGTGGGAACCAGCCATCACCTCTGCAGATCCCTCGGGAGTTCCTCTGCGCTTAGTGAGGCCCTGCCAGGCTCAGAGTGGGCAATCTGCAACATGCCAAATTTCCCCAGGGCAAACCCTTCCCACGCTGGGAGCAGACACTCGTCCTTCCTGATGCCTGCACCCCTGGAAGTGCTCTGTGTGTGAATTCCAAAGAGCTTATCCAGACATACAGCACCCTTAGTACCTCCCACAGAGATCCCACAAAGCACAAGGGCATGCTTTTCAAATTAATGAATGTCATCATTTTAAAACCCAAATCCCTTCGGAGGAGGGAATCCTGAGCCCTGTGGGATGAGGGAGTGGCAGGCTGAAGCTGAGCGGAGTATTTTGGGCATTATGCATGTGAAGGTGGCACACAGTGAGGCTCAGGCACAGAGGTGATTGCTCTGCACTTTGCATATTCCCTCTGTGCACTGGGCTGGGATTTTTCATTTCATCCATAATTCATGTTTTGCTGCAGCGACTCTACAGAGGCAGCACAGGACCTCAGCCTCGGTGATAACAAGGGAAAGAGAGAGTTGCTTTTTGTTGCCAGACTGCAAACTGTAGAGCTTGGGTCCAGCCAGACACTCCACTTTATCCCAATTAACCTGTGGGCAAAGATGTGAATAGACAGTGAAATAAGGGTTTGCCCTTATATATAAGTGGCTGCAAATAGCCACTGCCAAGCCCACATGACCCCTGTCTGGGCTCTGTTTGTAGCCAGCAGAGCTGTGCCCAGCCCAGAAAAGGGCTGTTATTCCTCCAGCCCTGGAGTAATAAAATTTTTTCCCACGTGCACGTGTGATCTCTGAACAAGCTCAGTTATTGATGCCCACACACTGTTAGATTTTGGGGCCAGGGTGCTTTTCTTTTTCACCTGACCCCAGCAGTGCTGCAGAGTGAGAGTCCTTGCTGTCATTGTGGACAGGGAGGTCACTGTGCCACTCTGGCTGTACCACACACACAAAGCAGCCCACGCTCACTCCCAGAGCTATAAACCTTCCTCTGCAACCCTGCTGCCTTTCCTCTCCATAACACACAGACCAAGAAACCCAGTTTGTCAGAAACGAAAGTGTTTCGGGAGATTAAAATGTAAATGTTGCACTCGGCTTTTCAGAGGGGGTTTGATATTTTACTTGTGACTCTGAGAGGAAATAGATTTTTGATAACTCTGCGGAACTGCTGCTGCCCAGCCACTGCTGCAAACAGCCAAAACCTTAATAAATAAATCCTCTGTCAGCTGGCTTGGAAAACCAACTTGCTGGTGGTTTCAAGAATTATTGGGAATTTCAAAGCAGTCTTGCACAAGGAGACCTGTAATTACAGCAGCCTCTCCTACACTGCCTGAGTTTGAGAGGATAAGGGGAATGCAGTGTCATCTTTGACAGTGCTGGCAATAAACACTATATATGAATTTTTTACTATGTTTATTAACTTGAAAATTTGGGGAAGGGCCATGTCAGGTGTCATGCTTTGCACTAGGTATGGCCCACAAATGGGACACTGAAAGGGAATGTGAAAATAATTCAGCAAAAATTCCTGCCTGGCTTGGCTCTAATTTGCAGCCTCATCTCCTTGGAAAACCTGCAAAAAAGTCTACCTGAGCCCAAAACTAGGTCCCTCCCAAGGCAATCTTTTTTCTTAACTTTACATGGTACATGCAGGACTCTTTTCTCTGGATTCTCTGAGCCTGCAGAATCTTGCACCACCCTCAGCACTCACTGCCATGCACAGCTTTGGCTCTGTGCTAGCAGACACATGACACCATGGTGTGTGCATTATCCAGGCACCTTGTTGGTCCAGACTGCTGTAAACACGGGGAAAACTCAGGAAAAAAGTGATCAGGAGGAGTTTGCTGACTTTCTACTGAACACCAAAGCTCTTGTCCACCCACCAGTGCAGCCAGAACTGAGTTGCTGGGATTTTTGCATCCCCAGTTAGCACCTATTTAAATAGCTGAACCTCAATATAAGATGTTCTTGGCTCAAGGCTCTCAGCTGAAAACTACGACCACATAAATATTCACAGCTTTATTACCAAAAACCATCATGAGTTTAAATTAACTTTTTTTTCCATAATACATGTAATAACCTGAATATCACCACTGCACATGTAGGCCAGCAGTGCTCAGAAATGATCAGCAAGGCAAGAATCACTCACAGGATTAATTTGGAAAATAATTTCAAACAATTGAGAGCCATATGAAAATGAACAGACCACACATTAATAGAGCTTGAGCCTGCTCTGTAAACTTAGCTACTCACTTTTTATCCCTTAAGTAAACTAGGAAGAGTAATGTATTTATAGCCTCTTGACGTAAGTAGCCTCAGTGAAATATTGTATGTAATAAATATTCTGCCATCTCAGAGAGCCTATAGGACAAAGCGGTACCAAGGTACTGCAAAGGCAAACTGTATGTGGCTAATGAGTCTTGGTGAGCTGCCAGCCAGCTGAAAACACTGCAAATGAGAGAAAGCAATGAAAATATACACTTTATTAATATAGGAGAGAGTTTTATTAACGCAACCGCAATGCGAGGGCAGTAGGTAAGGAATTTTGCCTTTCAGCTTTGCAGGGCGCCTTTAATTACTCCTTTCAGCCATCACCTTGGACTTTACTCAGCTTTATCCCAGTGTTTTGTTGTTTGTCAGTCATTTTCTCCACTATTTTTTTCCCCCTTTCTGTTGCAAGGTTCATAAGATCTTGGCCCCCTTTCCCTGCCCCGCGCTGCCAGCACTGCTTTTTATCCAATTACAAATTACACAGTGCATCTGCATTAAAACAAAATGTGTTCATCACCAGTTTTAAATAAGGATGTCATTTGTAAATGCTTTATTCATAATTAATGGAATTATTACTGGGTGCAGCCACATTCTTCATCCATGTGCTGTAAGATATGTTGTAAAGTGCATTAGTAAAAAGCTTTATAGATGAGGATATGACAACCTGACTGTGAAGCACATTACGTGATGTACTGTGGCTGTTGTTGTAACAATCTTTATGCAAGATTTTAAGCTATCGGTCAGCCAGGGGCTGATTGATAGTGTAAATGTTAATAATTAATAATAGGATAATGTTGATAACTGTGATTCTATGATGAGTATGGATTTTTTTAGTTAGAATTATGCTAATATGCATTATTCACTGAATCATGAAATCACATTAGAGATGAGAAAGTCTCTCTGGCTTTCCCCATTCATATCACTGACAAGTCAATGCTGCTGTTTCCTAACATTTCCAAAGCAGCTCTTTTCATCTGCCTTCCTGCATGAAGTCTGTAAGTTAAAAAGTATATTTTAAAACAAACTTAGAGCCCTGAACATGTGCTTACCAGAGTGATATGTAAAGTCATGGCCTTCAACAACCTGCCTGGGAGACCCCAGATCTGAGGGACCCTCTGCTAGGTTTACAAGAAAATAGTTCAAAACGAAGGAATTTCCACTGCAGATTCTTTTCACTTTGGCACTGGAAGCCCCCAGCAATTTAAATCCCCCAGGCACACTTACCTTGTACAGTGGGTACAGGAACATCCTTGAGCTGATGAGCGACAGGTAACATAAGTGAGGTGTGAAGACGGAGACACAGGAGAGCTGCAAGGCTCAGTGGTGATGTCATTTTTTTTCAGCTGACATTATCGTTTTTTATTTACTAGACAGGATGAAAACAGGCATTACGTCAGGCCGGGAGAAGTGAATGCCAGTTTGCTGCCGGGCACAGACTCCTCAGAGGATGTGATATGCCAATAGCAGCCTCAAAACCAGGATTCAGAAATGGATACGGTGTAATGGCCCCTGGGATATGCTGGGTTCCAAGGCTCCCAGCGGGGAAATCTCCCCTTCTCCACCCAGCAACATTGTCTCCATTGCCTGTCTCACGGCTGCCCTTGCAGGATCAGAGATTTAATTTTTCCTTCTCCAATTTCAAAGACTAAGATGCAGGAGAGCTCCTTCCTGGTACTCAGCTGCTTGTAGATAACCTAAGCCAAAGGCATCAAATATACTGAGCTCCCTGGCATTTTCCTGCCAGCACAGTGTCCAACGAGGAGGGGTGTGCTCCATGCACCCCCTTAATGACATTTTAATTCCTTCAACTGTGCTAACACCCACCCAGCTCTCTGGCAATGCAGGAACACAGCTTATGGACTAGTGTGAGAGCAATTTTTAGGGAGAAAGTGCTAGTTAGTGCAGGAATTTTCTTGTTAAGGAAATTATTATTGGTAGCTTTTTCTTAGAGAGATGAGAAAGCTCAGAGCTGATCACAGGTTGCCTTTCTTATCCCTCTTCCCTCCCCACCTCTCAGATTTTGTGTTTGGCTCTTCAACGTTTTTATTTCAGATAAATCCGCAAGCACATTTCCAGGTGGATGTCACCAGGATCCACTTCCTCCCGGCCCACAGACAGTCTGTCTCTTATCTCCCTTACATTAGTATCAATTATTTACAGCAGGAATGCTAAATCATGAAAACAAAGTTGCAGCAAAGCTCTGCCTTGGCTGAGTACCTCACACTGGTTGCAGCTTCCAGAGCCCCTGTGCTACTTGTGCTTGTCCTTGCAGAGCAACAGCCTTGATTTTTTCCCCCTTTCACAGCCACAGAGAAGAGCAGTGTCTGGGCACCCACAGTCCATGTTGTTAAGGGGTATAAAAATCATAAAGGAGTGCATTGAGCAGCATATCTGTAGGGAAAGCTTAGGTTTTGGTGCATAGGACTTGGAGCAGCACAGCACTTGTCATAAGGTTTCCTTTGATACTTCTTTTTCCTCCTTCCAAAACCCCTTCCTGACACTGGAAGGTAACATTTGGAGGAAGGATCATCTCCAGTCCATGAAGATGGTTGGTGATGGAGATGACTCTCCAAAACAGGGTGCAACCAGTCTGCCTGGGGGCTCACCACCCTTTTGTTGTCATTTCCCTCCTTCTCCATGACAAGGGGCTGAAGGGCAGGGCTTACCTTGGTTGGAGTTTTCAATTGCTCAGCAGACACTGCTGGAGATGGAAACCTTCAGCCAAGGCAAGTCCTGTGCCCAGCCCCAAATGAAGTGGGTTGACCCACCTTGGCTGGTGCTTTGCTGTTGTCCATGGGTGTGATTTTGGGCAGACACTTGTGGAGGAGAGGTATGAAAGGGAGGACAGAAGAAAAGGGAAGGGTGTTTTAATTCCAACTTGCTTTGAGTCACTTCATTAGCCCTGACCCCGTTTGACCCTTTTACTGTTATATCAGCCTAACTGTTTATTTTCCTCATAAAACTAAACCAAATCGATTACCTCTGTCTCAAAGCCCTTTATGTGTCTTGGCGCCCAGGAGCAGCCCTGCTGTTAGCAAAGGGCCTAATGCAAAGGAAATCTTTGGGAAACAGGGACAGTTTGGAGCAGACACCAAGCCAACCTCCCCATCTTCCTCCTTTTCCCTGATTAAGCTTCATCTCTTGCATTTAAAAGAGAAACTCTATCTATTTATTTTAAAAATAGCTGTACAATGTTATCTCTATAAAAGTGCGTGGTGTGTTTCTGTTGTATGCATCTATACAATCAATAAACTGTGTCTTGCTGGGGATTTAAATATTAGTCTTCAAAATCCAGGTCTAGAGTAGCAGATTTATTTGTATGAACATATGCCCTTTCCTGCTTAAGGAAGGATATTAATTATAGATGCAAACCCATAAATCTCCTGGCTTTAGGTGAAATATTTGCTGGATTATAAATATGAATTGGAGATGAGGGTCCTGCTCTTCCTATTATTACTATTATTATTACTTACTGGTTATTATTTTCTGCATGATCTGTATCTTCAGGTGGGTCAAACACCACTGGGGAATGGGTAGCTAAGCCTTCAAAGGGTGCACACATGTTGAATTCATTAAAAGGTTTTCTATCCCAGCCTTGCTCTCTGCTGCATTTCACAGTCGGGTGAGTCATTAAACACCCTGTTCAGGTCCTTTCCCCTCCTCTCTGTCCTGCTTTTGGTACCTCATTTCATTGTACTGCTTTTGCCTGATCATATCAAGCTCTCTAATGTTTATTAATGATGTCCTGTGCATCCTATTGACAACGTGCTATTGTTTCTGAAGTTCTGCTTCAACACCAATCTCGGAAAGCAGCCAAACCAGAGTCACTAGAGACCCCAATATCACCCAGAGCTTTGTCATAGGGGACAATTTTCTTCTCCCCCATTTATCATGGTAGATCTGGGAACATCAGTAATAAGCCACAAGGGCTTGATTGCCCAAGGAGCTGAGCACCCTGAATAACAAGTGGAGGATTTGCTTCAGGTGGACGTGGGAGCTTTGATGTGACAATTGTGAACAGTCCTGATGCTGCTCAGCACCTCCCAGGGCAGGGCTGGGGGGACCTCACTACTCATGGCCCCAGAGCTGGTGAACTGAGTGTCTCGAGTTAATTCAACATCAACTGAGACAGGAGTGCATTGCAGTGGATCTCACAGACTTTATCACATGCTCCAGAGCCAGGAATGCCAACTAAGGAGAGTTAAACTGAAGACATCACTGATGGCCTCAGGGCTCGCTGCAATTTGTCCCTGTTTCCCTGCTGATCTGCTACTCCAGCCATGCTGGTTGCTCTGTGGTCCATCAAGCTCCAAACCAAGCCAGAGGACAAATGCAAAGGACTGGATGTTCACCAGCGTTAGCAGAAGCAAAAGGCATGGAGATGCTCTGGTGTGCACCAGGAGGGATTCCTAAATGTAGCTCTGGCAGGTGCAGCACCACAGCAGGCTGCTGACCAGAAGAGAACACATAGTGGGACCTCAAAACAAAAACATGTAACACCCTACTCTGAAATTAATAGGCCCTTATATGCCAGGTCTGTAAAGACAGGGCTCTGTGTAAGGTCTGCTTCTTTGAATTAGACTCCTGTGCTTAAATAAATTAAGTGAGCTGTCAGTATATTAAATGATTTAATGCCTTCTTCAGTTTTGCAGTGGAATCCTAATGAAAATACTCTTCAATATAAAATGCTGAATAAATTAAATGGTGAAGTATTTAAATAAATGGTCTGTTGTTACTGGGAACCACATTAAATTAGTGTTTGTCTCTATGGTAATGATGTTGCTTTAAAAGAGTTTCTGCTGGTTCAGGCTTTTTCTGACAAAACAGAATGTTGTGCTTAAGATGTTCAGTTCAAAAGCATCTGCACAGTTCCTGGGCCAAAACCTAAAATCAATGGAAATCTTGTTGGCTGGCTAATATGGAGCTGGATTAAGTGGCATTTGGAGCAGAGGGCTCTTGCAGGCTGAATTGGAACTACTGAAGAATTTACTGGGTGATGCCCTCTGCCCTGAGCCGGAGGTGTAGAGGTGTGTCAGAGGCAGGTCAGCATCCTGCAGTGCTGCCTCCTCCCCACTCACTGGTAATCTGATTATCAGATGTGGCTCTTGGGTGCTGGTGACAGCAGCAGAGAGGTGGCAGATGGTGGGGACAGCAGCAATGGCTTGAATCATGCCGGAGGTAAACCCAGCACAGCTGAGGACTCAAAGTCTTTGGTGGTGCTTTTGTGTGCAGACAGCTCCTTAGTGCAGGTAGAAGGGATGAGACATGGTCCCAGACTCCCAGATTACAGCTGGATATATTTTGCTATTGAAGAATCACTGTGATATCATGAATAAGCTGTGGAGGGGCTTAAAAGTCTCTCTTTCCTGATCTCATTACAAGTTAAGATAACAAATGGCCTCTCTTTTATATCCTTTATATAAGGTAAAGACCTGCTTTTAAAGGTGAAGACCTCAGCAGGAGCTAAAGTCCCTTATATATATAAATCAATTATGAAGCAACTTTAGTTGTCTAGCTTTTGGATATAAGTTCTTATCTAATCACCTCCCCCAGTCACAGTATTTCTTTGGAAGGAAATTTTTTTATGACACTGTTTTCAGAGCTTTAAAACCCAGAAATAATGTCTCAGTACCCAACCAAAAATAAGAAATAAATTCTATATGTGTGTGTATATATATATATATATACACACCTTTTTGGTCCCGAAGTACATCTGGATACACAGTAACACATCAGCTGAGCCTTGCAGACTAGTCCCAGATGGCTCCTGGAGCTTCCTGAGCGAGGAGTCTGCAGGCAGGACTCCTGCTGAAGAATTTCTGTGAAAGGAGAAATTTCAGCTTCCAAAGCAGAGAGCAGAGATGTGATGGAGCTTCTGAAGAAAATCCCACAAGATTGTGGCTCTCTCTCATTCTGTGATTTCCTGGGAGTAGGTGAGTCTGTTATCAAACTACACAGTTTTACTCACAGTTTTATCAACCTTTAAGGAATATGGATGTGTCATTTCCCTGAAAAGTCTATCAAACTACAGCAGCAGATGGGGATCAGCAGGATTTATCTGAACCACTGGAACGCAGGTCCTTCATGTACTTGCTTTGAGCTGCTCTCTTTGGCACTGCATTTTGGGGTTTTTTATAGCAGAGGGATGCAGGCTGGGTTTGTTTTATGGGGTTTCATAGTACTTTTCCAGCCTCTCCACTTGAAAAGATGAAGTACCAATAACACGGAGGTGTCTGTGTGTCTCTCCACCAAGGCCAGATCAATAACTCTGGGAAAAGGGAATGGTCCCAGTCAGTGCTTGAGGATGACAGCTTACATACTCATTATTAAGAAAATTAAAAACCCAAAAAGCACCACTCCATCCCTGTGGTGTGCGTGTTTGTGTGTCAATTCACAGTGATCTTTTGTGCATCCAGGGAATGGCTTAAAAAAACCCAAAAAAACCCCCAGCATGAATTTGAAATATCCCGTGATGATGAAACCAGCTGTTGGGAAGTTTTTCTGATGTTACTTCGTCCAGTTATAAAGCACAGCCCCTTCCCAGTTTGAATTTAACAGCATCAGCTTCCAGTCATCAGCTCTTTTTATCGCTCTGTCTGTTAGATTGAGGAGCACTCCCTTTCTGCATTCCTGTACCCTGTCTGAATACATCTGGATTGTCATTAAGCCATCCCTTAACCTTCTCTTTGTTAAGCTAAGCGTATTGGGGTCCTTGAATCTGTCACTATAAGGCATGTTTTGCAACGCTTCAGTCATTCTTGTGTGCCCTCTCCCATTCATCACCATCCTTCTTGAGTCGCAGGCACCAGGAAATAGCTGCAGTGTCCCCCTAGATGTTACACCAGAGATATTTCACTCCACTATTTTATCAAGTTTCCAGCATTGTGTAAGAGGATCTCTCCTCCCCGCAGTGAAATCCTGGTTCCTAGAAGCGTGGCTTTGTGTGTGCCCACGTTAAACAGACCGGAGTTCGCTTCCATCTGGTTCACGGAAAGTGCATCCAGCATGCCAGCTGTGGTCCGGCTCCAAATCTCATCAGCAAACTTTGATTGTAATGAGTTTTGATTTTCTACCGTTTGCTAAAAATGATGAACCGAAACGCAGCCACTCGGGATGCTCCTCTGATATGTTTAAACATATCAGCAGGGTTTTCATCCGTTTAGCGCGTGCCGTGTTGATTTTACATTGTTTTAGCTTCCTAATAAATGAGACAACATTAAGTTAAATGCCTCGCAGAAGTCAAACGTAACAGTGTTGATGAAATGTACTAAATCAATCAAATCTATAATCACATTCTTGAAAAATTATATCAATTTCGTTTAATAAGATCTGTTTTCCATTAACTCGTGTTGATTGTAATTAGTTATTCTCCTTAAATTGTTATTAATCAAGTCCCTTATCAGCTCTTCCATTATTTTTTTTCACAAAATCAACATCAAACAATCAGATTTATAATTACGCAAGTCATCCTCCTCATCGACATTTATGCATTGGCACAAAGTCAACACTGCTTAGGTCTTCTGGAAAACTCTGTGCCGGCCTGGGGCGCTCCTGGGACAGATTTTAAAACTCAAAGCACTGAATATTGAGAGCTGCCGATCAAAAAAAATCCTCTAGCTGTAGCAGCAGCTGTTTAACATCCTGAGTTGGAACAGAAGATATTCCACATCATCATATTACATGGCTATTTCACTTAGCATTTTTTCCCCCCCAAAATAGAGAA